ACTTCATAATTAGTTGAATATATTGAACAATCAACAACCCCATGACTATATGGAATTGTTAAAATAATATCTTGGAAAGATTTAGAATTTATAAAATCTCTCATTTGTTTTTCATTCATGATAGAATCTTAATTGTTGGAACCATATGCTGATATAGCATTTAGTTTTCCATTACATACAAAACATCGATATTCAATTGGAATATGATCAAGCCATTTTCTTAAAATTAATTTGCCATTTAAAGAAATATCTTCTCAGTCTTGAGAAAGACGATCACTAGTTCTAAAAAGTAATTTTAACTGATGAATATTTTGAATTTTCATAAAATATAAAGGAGGATATTTATCTGATTTCAAATCCCATAAACGAGACTATTCATCATTGATTTCTTTACTCAGAGCTAATCGAACAAAATCTCAATAATTTTTCATAAAAAAAATTTTACTTTCATAAGCATCTTTTGGACTTCTATGCATTTTAACGAATACATTTCCATCTAATTCATCAATCATTTGTATTATTTTCTTTTCTAAATCTTTTCGAATGTTTTCTCTATTTATTAAATCATTGATATCAACGTTTGTCAAATTAACCATTCGTGATTCAATAGTAAAAGATTTGATTCGTTCATAATAATCATCGAAATTATAAAGACATTCATAATACATTCGATGGAAACGTGTAATTATTTGTTTACTTTCAGAATGAGATTCATCGATTAATAAAGCTAACAATTTGAAACAACCATATCTCAGATTATCATCATAGAAAATACCCAATATTAATAGAAAATCTTCGAAATAAAATGCTAATTAAATGAAAATATGTTCGAAATGAAAAATATAATAATAATAATAACTTGTCTAAATGTTGTTTCACTGATAAGAAAGTTGATGTTAATTGATAAAGTTCTTCAATAAAAGTTTGACAATCGTAAGACGTTGGATTTAATGATAAAAAGCTCCATAATTTATGTGGAAAATTAATATTTGATAATAGCTGAATTTGTTGATTTTGATTTGATCCATTAATATCTTGTAAAAATTTAAATGAGATTTCTTTCGTTTCTAATGGTTCTTCGGCAGATAATGGTAATGGTTTATTAGTAGTTCAAACTAATTGAATGAAATAATCGAAATTTTTATTTATTTGTTTAAGATATAATTTATTAGAAAATATATCATTTTCTATATTCATTTGGCTATGCCACAATCTCTTTATCTTCGACAGACATTTTTGATTTATGTAAAAATATTACTTTTGTCTTGTGCAACATCTGTCACATATTTTTTTTCTTCTTTCTATAAACATATGAATCATATAATGTGTCGTAGATTTCTTATTTGCTATAAGTTTTGTGCAGTTGAATAAATATTATACGAAAATACTGTTCTCCTAGTGAATCTTGATGTAGACTGATATGATCTTTACTTTTCAGTAATAAGATCTACGTGTATGGTAACGCATAAAACTTCCAGTAATTAAGACATTTAGCATGAGTCTTTGTTGTTTGCTACAAGAAAAACTAAGAGTCATATGATCAAAAAACAGAAGATGGCAATGTATTATCATAGCCATTTAAGATACTACGAAAATCGAACTTATCTAAGAAAATTAAGAGAGAATAGAAAAAAGAAGCGTATGAAATTTCTCTAGTTGAAAATGTTAAATCTTATTGCGACTGAAACTTGTAACTGACATCGTTTTCGTTTGTCTATTTTCTTTTATTTAGGAATAGATATACTTATGACGATTACCTTGTCTTGTTTGGTTTTTATTACATTGTTGCGTCAATACAACAGGGATACAGATCGGTGTTTTGCAACATGAATCAACAACACAATTTGATGATGGTGATGAACATTTTTTATTTTCGTTACAGTCGTCGAAGCTATCACAATTAGCAGATGAAGCGCAGAGTTTTTTACCATCTTCTGTTGTGAATTCATAGCATGCATGACAACTAACGTTTGCATTTCTGCAACTTCGTTGAGCACAGGTGTTTCAAA